AAGAAGGACCATCGCACGTATTTTGCGACAACGAGAGCGTGGTGACAAATTCAACAATGGTCAAATCCACTTTGAACAAGAAGCATAATTCGACTGCTTATCATTACACCAGGTGGAATGTGGCTGCAGGAGTTGTCGACGTATCGTGGATTGCAGGAATGTTGAACCTCGCTGATGCCTTCACAAAGCGATTGACACTAGCAAGGAGAGGGCAACTATTTGGGGAATGGACGTACTAGACAAGTTATCGAACTGGGTCCCAAAGTTGGAACCCAATTCGAGGGGACCAAATGAAGGCTACCGTGCTATTGCACATGCATGCAATGGTTTGTGTCCGTAAGTGAACAGGATCGGCCTTCGCGGAAGCCTGTCGATGAAACGACGATAACCACACTCTTTTTAAGAATACGATTAGATCTACGTTACTATCTTTAGCATCTACTACTTTGTAAGTCAACACCCTTGTAATAACATAACAATTACATTTATATGGCGGCAAGTGAACAGGATCGGCCTTCGCGGAAGCCTGTCGATGAAACGACAATAACAACACTCTTTTTAAGAATACGATTCGATCTACGTTACTATCTTTAACATCTACTACTTCGTAAGTCAACACCCTCGTAATAACATAACGATTACATTTATATGAATGTTTAGCGTGGATTTGGACCTATTAAAGTACTTTCACGCTAAACATGAATTGAATGAACGAAGTGCAGACGGCGACAGTGAAATACCCAAACCTCCTCACCACAATGACAATTCAACTCTCTAAAAATTAGATCGAATTTTGTAGTCGAATGTTAAAATATTGTATTCCATCTTATTGTGGATGTCATGGGAGGAGGTTGTTGCCTAGATACAACTGGAAACCTGGTCATTCTTACTCCTGATGATAGGGCAACAAGCAACAATGCACACCAATCATTCAGCCATGATCTGTAGGTTTTCGTCATATTTGATTTGCCAGGCGGGTTGTCACATTCCTCATTACTCTTCCATTTGTCATCTTTGAGCGCCATTTTGAGGAAGCATGCTGGCTTGTAGGTAGCAATCATTGAAGAATTGTCGCCAAGCAATTGCTGCTGCTACCCCTGAAACCTTGAATTGCATCAGCTACAGCAGTCGCAAGTACCTTCATATGTTGTGCATGCTTGGTATCTCACACAATTCGCCTGAAAGCTCCCCAGTTCTGATTTCTTTCATTCTGCTCAGTTGATGACAGGCAGCGCCCATGCTGATTTGCAAGCCAAATAGAAGATTGACAAAACAACCTCATTCCATTTGCTGGCAAGAGTTTGCCTACATCCGCTTTGTCGTCTGAAAATCTCAGATGTTCTCATTTCTTTTAGTCTGCACAGTGGACGGCAGCGCTCATGCCGATCTTCGAAGCCAACGAGGAAGGAGATACCAAAACAATAGTATTCCCCTTGCGGGCAACACCGACTCCAGTAGTATCCAGCTCGTTCGTTTCAGCCCCCACGGCGGTAGATTGTTGGCGAAACGTATGTTTCTTCCTCTGCTTCAGTTCAAATCTTGTCTTCTTCTTCATTTGATGGCTCGGTTTTGGGTAACAGGGCTCGCCAGCACTGTGGTTTCACCTCGTTTGATTACAAGAAAAAGACATCACAATTGCCAACTGTCCGGCAGCTGTCATCATGAATCTATTCTTTGTCTCCCGTCCTCAGTTTCATTCGTCATTCGCTATGAGGAAGCTTGTGAAAACAAGTAGCTGCTGTGTGTGGTGAATGATTTGGTCAACGATTTTGTAGGGTCATCCATCATCTTGTATATCCGGGTTACTTTGGGCATCTCATCGTGGGCCTCGCGACCTTCGGTCGCTCCGCCAAATAGTTTTACGTGCAAGGTCATAGCACTGTGACACACAATTTTAAAACTGTGCAGTTTTAAAACTGAGTGACGCAGTTTCAAAACTGAGAAAGCTAAAAAACTTTCACAATCTCAGAAATGGTGGCTTGACGGGCGTAGTCATTTTACGAACTTCCGGAAATACCGCATACCCACAGTCACATGTAATACATGTTGACCTTCCAGTAGTTTGGGATAACCCTGTAAAAGCCGTTTTGCTGCATATTTTCAGGCTGTCGTTCTCATGGTTGAAGCAGTTTTACGCGATATAAATCGAGATTCATTTTCCACCTATGCTCTTGTTAGAACGAAATAGGAACAACTATCTCCAGATTCCCTAGTGAAAAATGAATTATTACATAATATCCAACATGCTCTTTCGTGGAATTGGAGATCGTTTTTCTTCTCCCTCAATAAAGAGTGAGTCTGCGGGTTCTAGTCATCTACTACAGATGGGCCACTTTTAAGGACACTCCAAAGAACTCTTTATATAAAAAAGCAAGAATTGACTCTGAAAACGGTGAGGCCATGCTACAGCAGCACAAGAGATGAAAACTGAAGTTGTGTTTTTAGTGCTGGGCTGGACCTACAACTACAGTACAGAGGGATTGCTTGTCTAGCTTCAACCAATAGTACAGCATCAAAACAGCTTTAGATAACAACCTCTGCAGAAATGGTGTGAACCAAGGTTGGGGCATGGCTGGCTTGTGCCAGTTTTAAGATTGCTGTGACCATAATCTCAGTTTTGAAACTGCGTCACTCAGTTTTAAAACTGCACGGTTTTAAAATTGTGTGTCACAGCACCGAATTTTTGCCACGATGGCTACACTCTCTGAGACTCTGAACCACTCTACAGTCATTGTCTTGCAGTCAATCCACATTGTCTCTAGGTCGCACGTAAACAAGCAAAGGGTCTCCCTGAGACTGAACGCAAATCACCCAACCAAAAAGCTGCCTTCTCGCATTTTCCAAGACTTGAGATTGCGTCAAAAATACAACCTTGCAATGACAAACCATCATCGTACCAACAAAATCAAGCACAACACGCGATGGTAAAATGAAGCACCTCCGTAACTCAAATTTAAATTATTTATTGGTTACTTTAGCTACTTTGGAATATTTGGATGTATGTCCGTTTCTCATCACTTGCAAGTGGTAGATTGTTCTGAATTCCCAAACCATTCATGAACTTCTTGTCCTCTGTTGTTGCCTTTATTGCTGATTGTAATTGCAAGGCAACAAGCTGAGCTACTAGCGTTTCAAACAGACTGTGCTTTGCAAGTTACTAGCCCTGATCCAAAAATCCTGTTCTTGTTCATTTTATTGTTGACAAAGAGATGAATTTGTTTCATTTTGTTGGGTTAATGGCAAAGCCAAAAGTAGACTACATACACAGGTGCTAGTCACCAAAGGAACCCCTGTTGGCTACGAGCTTATGTGCTTGTTCTTATTGAGGTGGATTTCTTAACAAAAGGGATTGAGATGTTGGTGTGGTGTGGTGTGGTGTGTCCCAAGGATAGGAGTGCTTGTTGTGTATGTAGTCTGTGTGAGTGAAGAAGAAGTATTTGCAAGCTTTATTTGACACAATCGACTCAATATCTCAACTCTGGGAAAACGCAAGAAGGCAGCTTTCTGGTTTGGTGCTTTGCATTCAGAGACTATGGAGAGTCCTTTGCTCGTTTGCATAACGGACAAAGCATAGACAATGGCTGCAGAGTGAGAGGCTATGGAGAGTCTTTTGTTTGTTTACATGCAACTGACAGACGTAACGGACAAACCATAGATGATGGCTGTATAGTGAGAGGCTATGGAGAGTCCTTCGCTTGTTTACGTGCGACCAACAGACATAACGGACAAACCATAGAGGATGGCTGCAGAGTGAGAGTGTTGCAATATGACAAAATATGAGTTTTTACGTTCCAAAAAGTACGAAGTTTTTGACACGTACGATTGGACTTTGATCGTGATGTCGGGATTTGACGCAAGTATGCCGGGCGCAAGTCTGTTGGACAATCTATATCCACACAAAAAGGGAATGACCCTACCATACATTTGGAAATTGGCGGGAGGCTAGGGAACAAAAACTTGTAAACAACCGCATGAAAAATACTTGAAAATATAGACTTGACCAGGTTTTCATGTAGATTTCAATGGAGGTATCAGAAATCAACCAAAACCACGGTAAAGCGCTGGGATTTGATGCTAAAGTTTCTTCAATTACTTAACATCAAAGGTCTGGCAAAGGAGATTTCCTTTAAGTGGTGGCGACGGACAGACAGACCACTTAATACGTCGTTTTATTTTGCGTGTGCCGAGCATACAGTCACAAATATAACATAAATTGCTTATGCAAACCTTAGAAACAACATCTCCTCCTGGGATATTGCATAAGTCAAAAAACTGAGTACCCCATGCCGCAGAGCATTATATGCACCGTGGCGCTGAAAAAACGATAATTGCATAACTCGGTTTTGTCATGAGAAGATAGCTGTAGCGCATTCTCCTCCCGCCAATTTCCAAATGTACGGTATACAAGTGGGATATTGATGTTGTGTACGATGCAGTAGGGAATAATACAAGATGTCCCAAAGTACTGCATTCAACACAGAATTGTTGTAGAAGTTGAATCAAGTTCTGTCAACAAGAGATTTTCCAAGGGAAAATTGTTGAACTTACTTTTGTGATTGAATCATCAATTCAAGCCAAATATTAATCAAATAGGAACAATTTCACTCAAAGTATACCTAACACAGGAGAACTATTGTCATGAAAGTGTTGTATAGTTGATTACAAATTTAGATTGCAGAGAGTTTGTTCTGAGCGCTAAAGGCACTAACGATAGAGCACATTTTGCTCTATTCTAACATTCAATCACAAAAGGCAACAAAACAAAAATACGTCAAGAACAGCACTGCCTTATCTACAAAGGAGTGAGTGATTCATTGACAATGGGACGTTCTTCATCCGGTGGTGGAAAAGGACGTGTGACTCCTCAGAAAGTCAAGAGCAATACAAGTTCAACAGTTGCAAAACATCTATTTTCTACAAAAGATGAAAACGATGGAAAGGCAAGATTGTCATACCAACATGCCAAAGAAAGAGTGACCGACTACATCTAAGCTTCCAGAATGAAGTGCTCCAAAGACATGGTGAAATTGATTTGCGATGGGAAGTCGATCAACTTCAATGCAATCGCTCCAAGATTGAACGCTCCAACTCAAAGTGAAGCTGTTGCAAGAGAAACAGAGATGACTCAAAACAAGATTCTCTATTCTGCAAAGCTCGACAAGAACATGCAAAGATCAGCCTACTTCAAGACAAACAAGAGAACCGTCAAATCAAACATCATGCTGAAATTTGTGACAAAGACGATAGATATCAAGCTTCGAGGTGAAGCCGATTGCACTACTACTCTTGAGGATCCAATCGAACTCTTGAACCGTATTGAACAATTCATGAAGAAGAGTGCTGATGCTGAGTATGACTTCTTGGATTTCTGGGAAGCCAATCAAAAGTTCTTTGCGATGAAACAAGGAACAACCGAAAACTTGATGCATTTCAAGGAACGATTCTTGACACAGGCTGAAGTCCTGCAAGATCTATATGGCGTTGCCTGGTTCCAAAACTTTGCAGTCAAGACAAAAGCGTATGCTGCTATTGCTAGCACTGATACTGCTGCTCAAGACAAGTTCAAAGATGATATCTCTGAAGCTGTTCTTGCAACAGGATTTCTGTGCAACTGCGATTGAACGAGAACAGCTCCTCTGATACTGGATCTTCAGACGAACTATTGCAGGGAAGTGGATTATTATCCGGTCAGCAAAGCACAAGTTATGCTGAAGATTCACATGGATGTGATTAAAAATCCGGGAGTGAACCTGTACCAAGGAAAAGACCAACCTAATAAAGGTAAAGGCAAAGGCAAAGGGAAACCAAAGGATGGAAAGAAGAAGGCAGCATGTTATGTATGTGGCAACGAAGACCATATGGCTCCAAAATGCCCAGGCAGACTGCTACCAAAGATCCAATGGAAGAATCAGGATCAATATGTTGACTTTGGGAAAAAGCTCAATCTTTATCAGATTGGAGCAACCGTTCCAGCTACTGTTGCTACTGTTCCACCTATAGTTCCTGGAGCTTCTGCATCCACAAGTGGAGCATCAAGTGTTGCGGGAAGCGTTAACACACCTTTGCGACTTGCTGGTACTACAGGTGTAATCAAATGATGCATAAAAATCAAAAATAAAATAAAAAAAATAAAAGGTAGAAAATATTTTTCCACACACTTCTCCAAAACAAAACTGTACCAGTCCTACGCGTTTTGTACGTACAGGAAAACAGTTGTTGTCGTTGAAACAGGAACTAAATTTAAGCCAATATGAAGGATAGCATCATCACCCCCCGGAGAAGGACCCGAATTCGATCATGACTGTAGCTGACCAAGGTCAGGGAGGTCTTGAGAAGAAAAAAACGATCAAATACGACCACTCAATCGTCGATTGCTCTGACAAAGGACAATCCTGCCATCACAAATCCCAAGCGCATCAGCAAGCAAAACCCCTCAAAAACCGCCAAGGATGGCGCAATGACAGGTCGCTCGCTCCTCTCATCTGAAGTTGCCCAAGGTCAGGTTGGCCTCACGGCCAAAGCTCGATCGAACTTGACCACTCCTTTGTCGATCAATCTCACCAAGGAAAATCCTGATCCCACAAATATCAAGAGTCAACGCAAGCAACTCCCCCCCTTCCAAAACCGCCGAGGATGACGCAGTGCAAGGACGGCCGCTCGTTGCCTACAACAAGAACCTCAAGGTGTCAAAGTTCCACAGGCTCTACAAGAAGGCGTGGAGGAAAGAGATTTTCAGAAACCAGGCATTTATTCTTACTTGGTCCTCTTGCACGGCAGAATACTCTGGCCGGGCAATCTCCAAATGCCCTGGCTGGTGGGCCGATGTCAACATGGATCCATCTTCCGACGCCCAAATCTATGACAACATCGCTGAGTTCATCCTGACTGGCCTGAAGGCGTACGACCCTTCACCCGGCGGTTTGATGCCACAGCTTTGGTCCAGCATGCAGAATCTGTTCTCCCTTGGAGATCTCAAAGACGCCGACAAGGACAAAGGTTCCTGGGCTCTTCGCGAGTACTTTCTTTGTCTCGCTACATAGTGCCCCACTGTTGTGTTTGATCTTGCAACAGCCCAACGCGTTATCACTACGGACAAAAAGTCACCTTGCTTTTCGGAATTTTCGCTCGTGTTCGACTGGACATTAATTGTTCAACGCGCCGAGCCGTTGACTTGGATGTGGCTAGCGGCATCCGAACTCTTCGCTCATCCTTGGACAGGCCCGGGTATCATTCCTCCCATTGTGGAGGAATTCGAGCGACTAGACCAAGAGTCGAAAATAGCCAAAGCTCAGTCCAAGTCTAAGAAGCGCCCTCCATCGACTCCAGAGAATCCAAAAGGTGCCAAGGCACACGATTCGCGCCCGTCTCCCGCTGTCCCAATGCAAACGGAACTGACGCCACCAAAAAGTCCGTCCAATTCCTGCCAACAAACTCCACCTTTGGATGCCACTCCTCCTTGCCAACAAGTGGTCATGTCTGACGCCGTTCACGTCATCGCTGGCACCCCAACAGGAACACAGGAAGCCAGTGTTCCAGCTGACGACGTCGTGGTAGCCAAGACCCACCGTGGGAGGACCAGTGCGGAAAATGGAGCAGAGGACCACAATAGTGCCCCAACCTACAGAGACACTGTTGCCGCTCTCCCCGCTCCCACGGTTCCTCTCACCACCGACAAACGATTGATGCGCCTTCTTGCTGTCCATTGGAATGCCTCTCCCTTTTGGCACATTACCATCTTCAACGTGTCCATTGTTTTTGATTGGCAGGGCGTCGGTTCGTCCTAGTTCAATCAAGTCCAGACTGCCTACAATGGCTTCCATCAGTTTGCTTCCGGTATCTGGGGCGAGATCACTTCCAAGGTCGTCCTTCTACCTTTTGCTGATGGCCGATTCACCCGACAACAACTGTGGATCCGGAACTTGAAGGGGTTTGACAAAAAAGCCAAGGATTGGGCCCACCTGAAGATCTACCTCGATCCCAACATCGGCAATCCTTACATCCTCAACAAACCTTGGAAGACTGGGTCCAAGACCTACAAGACTGGCATGCGGTTCGGGATGGACACTGCCCCTCCCATTCTCATGCAAGAACTTCACTCTGTCTTGTCCAGTGAGCCTCGGGCGGGCGTCTTCCCGACTCCTATCCAGGTTTCCGACATGGTCCGGCTTGGCTTCCTCCCGTTGCTACCACAAGGATTGGCGATTGGTCCGCACTGCAAAGACTTGATGCGTCTCTGCAACTTCCAGTACCCCATCGGCCTCATGCAAGAATGGGTCAACAATCCACGGTTCTTCTCTGCCAAATTCACTGGGTCTTCTTGAGGACTCCTGCTGGCACCTCTTTGTTCCAAAAGCCTTCGCTCGCGAGGCCAACCTGATTTTGGCTGCGAACTTGGACCTACGTAAGCCCAGTTGTGCTCCCTTCCAAGCACCGACCCATTACACCAGAGATTGGCAGGCGGCAAAAGACGAATTGGTCCTTGGCAAACAGTGCCCACAGCTTCAGTCCCTGATTGAAGCCATGCGGGAAAGGACTTGGGCGACGCGGGTTCTGACTGCAATCTACCGGATTCCCATCAAACTCCCGGGCATGCTGACTTCTGCTGTCACTGAGAACTTTGGGAAGCTCACCTTCCTGCGATTCCTTATTGCCGTCATTGCCACGGGCGCCCAGGCCAAGAAGGCGGAGGATGTAGAACCCAAGAAGCCCCCTGCCAAGGCCATAGAGGTGCTGAGTGATAGCGAGTCGTCCGGTGACGACGATGATGATAATGGCCCCCCAACCTTTGAGTGGACCACCATCATCAAAAAGTCTTTGGTTGCCTCCACTCCAAAGCCTGTGGAGGACAAGAAAAAGTCCCTCCTCATGGCACCCAAGTCTCCCGAGGACGACGATGCCTGGATCGGCCAGCTTGCTCAGATGGACCTCACCAACGACAGACCAAACCCTCTGTTTGTCATGATCTTAACCGCAGAGGAAGACGAATGTTACTTGTGGTGGTCCGCCAGCGCTATCTTCCTCTCGCGATGAACGTGCTCGACAACCTGCCTTCTTTTCTTCAGTTCCACCTAGGCGAGTTGTCGTTCCCCAATTTCATCCAAGTTATCAAGAACTGGTCAGCTACCGATCTCGCCTACCAGAATCGCAAGCTTCACATTGAATGGGTCCCGTCGGAGCTCCGCTCCCGCTGTAGTGACGATCCCACCAACGATCAAGGTCCTCAAGTCCGTGACCCAATGGACTTCCTTCTCTGAATGGAAGACCCTGTAGAGATTCTCGAGGGCACCCTCCACATCGACATCCACGCCAAACATGTTCCGGACGTAAACAACGGTCTTTCCGTGATTGGTTACCTTGACGATTGGAACGAGAGCCAGGCTCAGCTCCAGACCGCTCTTCAGACCATTGAGACCATTACTGCCAAAAAGAACAGTTTGAACCAGGACCTACAGTCCGTTCGTGACCAATCGGAGGCAATGAAGGCCGCCCAAGAGACTGCTGCAATGACTGTTGGGATATGACAAAATATGAGTTTTTACGTTCCGAAAAGAAACTATTCAAGTACGAAGTTTTTGACACGTACGATCGGACTTTGATCGTGATGTCGGGATTCGACGCAAGTATGCCGGACGCAAGTCTGTTGGACAATCTACATCCACAGAAAAAGGGAATGACCATATACAGGTGAGACTTTGATGTTGTGTACAATGCAGTAGGGAATAATACAAGATGTCCCAAAGTACTGCATTCAACACAGAATTGTCGTAGAGGTCAAATCAAGTTCTGTAAACAAGGGATTTTCCAAGGGAAAATCGTTGAACTTACTTTTGTGATTGAATGTTAGAATAAAGCAAAATGTGCTCTATTGTGAGTGCCTTTAGCATTTTGAACTTTCTTCAAACAAACAGAATGGATATGCTGGACTCGAGATGACCTCCAAGATGGCAACTGTTCGAAAGAAAAAGGAAGGATTCACTCCAAGACAAGTCAAGGCTGCGATGGAAGCGAGAAGTGCAATGCACATACTCAATGTTCCAAGCACCAAAAGTCTGAAGTATGCAATCCAATCTGGTCTCATCAAGAAGTGTCCTATCACTGAAGAAGCTATCAATCATGCCGAAGCAATCTTTGGACCTGACGCCTCTACATTGAAAGGCAAGTCAATAAGACCAACTCTGAAGAAGACGTACGACGACTTCTTCAGTCCGCCAGAGGAATTATATCAGCACAATCGATCTATTACCGTCTGTATTGATCACATGGAGATCGAGAATGCTAAGTTTCTCACCTGCATTGATACCACTGTGCGTTATCGCTCATGTATTCCCGTGCAGA